CAGCATGGGAGAGAGAAACGGATTGTTTTTCGTTTTTCTCTTTGTTTTGGTACCTTGAAGCTAGAAGTGTTTCAAAGAAAGTCAAGATAGTTGGAGGGATCATTTCCTTAACACCAAGAAAATATTCACTTGAAGGGTATTGACTGGTGTCGTACGCTCGGATCTGTATATCTTCTCTAATGATTGCAGCCGCAGCTCGATCTACTCTAATAGGCGTTCTTCTTCTGCCGTTTTCCCCCTTATACTGTTTTCGTACCAGGCTGCCTAGCTAATTCAAAAATTTGCGAGTACAAAAGGGTAGAATAAGCACGTATGGTGGCTGGAGAGCCTCTGAGCGCCTGATGTTACTGCAAAAAAAATTCTCAATTGGTTTTTGAAGATTTTATCAGAGAGTAGACCAAGTTTTTTCCCACGAAAATTATCTATCAACTCCAGTATTTCTTCACCACGATTGCTTAGCTATTTTTTTACAATAATTATTATTGTAGGAAAAATAATGAGGAGTTTCACCATAAGTATTTCACTTTCATCGCTTTATCATTTTTAATTAGTTGTATGAAGCAAAATAAAAATACTCTTTAAAATATTCTATTTTCTAAAATACATATTTTTTTTTTAAGTACTGTTTTTCTAGCACACATTAAAATGTACTGGAATGCAGTCAATATATGACGTAGACGTCTGTACCGACCAATAAGAATCGTTTACAATTGCTCTGATACACATCTTTGATGCTTTCCTTGTCTCAGCCCTGAAGAGTGACAATGACGACACTTGTTATTTGCACTTTGTTCGTTTAACAAGCTGTCTGACATAACCTAATTTATTTGTTGATTTTGAGAGTGTGCTTGATTGTTTTTGTTTTCATTTTCGTTTTCAAAAATGGCGCAGTGTTATACTTCAGGTTTTTGGCTTATGAGAACTTTTATATTCACAGCAAATACAGTTCCAGAACACAAAACTAAAAAACAAACCAAACAAACTGTGAAATTAGAGGTTATGATATTTATCAGCAGACATTAGGCAATTCAAACCACGTGACACTCAAGATGGCGTAGCGGCCACACATGGGACAAAAAACACAAAAAAAATATAGCTTCTGCCCGATTTAATAGTTTAGGTACCTGGTCAACAAATATTTTATTAAATAATCAAAATCAAAGTTGCAAGCAAAACTCTAAGCAAAAGAATTTAAAATACGCATAAAAACATATTCAAAACAAACTTGCTTGGCTGCCACGCCATATTGAATTTTCCTTTTTGACAGATGGATTGAATTGCCTAATTAGACAATGTGATTTTGCCAAACTGACGTGATTTCTTAAAACTGAAATGACGTCAGAGCATAGATTCTTTCCGATCACTTCAAAAACTATTGTAGCACATCTGAAAGTAGGTACTAACATTTAAACAACTACAATATTTATTGTGCAAAAAATACAACAAAACAAGGATAAAACCAAATATTTAAAGGCACCGTTGGAAATCAACAATGGCAAAGCCAATCTGACAACGTTACAATACAGGCAGTGCCGTATCTAGAACCTTCGGGGCCCTAGGCCCGCTTGAAATTACGGCCCCCTATCGGGTCCCGTAATTTTAAGGAGGCGTGAACCGGGATTGCCTCCCTGAGCCTTCAGAAGTTTGTTGGTAAAGTGAAATATTCCAAAATTTTCAAATCAAAATATGACATATAATATGTACCTATAATCGTAATTTTGATGCTGCGTAATTTTCTCAACGTTCTTTTCAACGCTTGGGAAATTTTGCAGATTCTGGTCTTTTCTCAGTAGGCAGATATCGGCAAAGAGTTATCTCTGTGATGTTCTGATAAAAACATTATAAAATGTACGCAGAGGGCGGTATCCCAGGTAATTAACTTGGCAGCTAAAGCTCTAGCTTCGGATCTTGTTCTCCCTGTCAGCAGCCAGTGGGTTATAAAGTCTTGTTATTTGAACACTCCCGTTATTGAGTGAAGCAGTTGAGTCAGCTTTCGCAGACCATCTTGTGTTTGATAATGGCTTGACTGTAAGGGGCTTTTTGGCCCCGCTTGGAACTGCTAAAAGTTGTAGACATTCTGTAACAAATCAACGAAATTGGCAGAAGTTGTCAGATTTTCTACACTATAGTTAACGACAAGATTGAGCGAATGGCTTGCCCAAGGAATATAAACAGCTTCATGCATGTGATTTTATCCGTGCTTGAAATGCTGCTCAACAACCACCAGACTTATTGGGAGTATTATCATAGCTCTGCCACAGCTTATTGCTTTGCCCTCTACAGTTTCAGTTTTAAATTGGTATTTGAGCTTATTGGTGCCCAGGAGAGTCTCGCATGGTCTCGTCTCGTTTTCGAGACAGACTCAAGACGATACTCGGACAATATTTAGTTTCTGTTTATGATTAATTTCCAATCACCTAGATTATTTATAGAAAATACGGAAACAGTTATTTAACTATGACTGGATACTTACCACAATTGCGTAGAAAATGCGGTTAAGGTTAATTATTTTTGTAAAAAGCATTAGGGAACAGCAAAACTTCATCTATATTTAATGTTATCTAAGAACCGGATCTCTTATTTCGACTGTCTCCGGACTTTCTCCCGGCTCGGGGGAATGTAGAGCAAATCAATAGCTGTGGCAAAACCATTGTATTATAACACTGATTATCAGTACAGAGTACAATCCTAAAATAATCTTGATATATTATATTTGTTTTCTGTTTTTTAAAAGAGTTCACGTGCATCATTGCATTACAAGTGGTGCTATATTAATTAATTATATGACTTTGTATAATGTGCTATGAAAACTAAAAAATTACTCTCGTTCCCCTAATTGACCGCTGTTCGACTTCATTCTTAACTATCAAATTAATGAGTCATCCTGAATGTTATGACTTCTTACATAATATATGAATGTGTTAGAAATAGTAACCAAGGATGCAAATAATGAAAAATCGTAATTCCGCAAACTCTTTATGGATTTGATGTACCTATCTAACTTTTTAATAAAAAATAGACAGTTTAAATTTTCTTAATATCGAGCTGTGTGTTTTTGCGGGAAGTTTTTGTTGAAGTGAGGCCAAATAAATATATTTTTCCAGGACCTCGTTGCGGATTTGATAAATTAAAGTTTCCTTGGTTGAAAATACATACCAACTGAAGAAGAGAGTTTACACAAAAAAAATGCGAACTATGTAGAAACTTCAAATTTCAGAACACAAACTGAGTTCCTTCTACAATGTTGCTGCGCAAACACTTGGCTTGACCAGCAAGAGGCAGTACGTGAGTGCAATAACTTGTGCACGTATTCTCGTTTTGAGGATCCGATAAGTTTTCCCAGTAGTTTTTCTTTTCCATATGTTTTAATAGTTCTTCAATCGATAACCTCCAATCAATTTTTGTTTCTTGAAGATGACCTTGAAAGTCAAATGAATTGGAAAAATGGAAGGCATAGGTAAATTAAAATTTTCACCTAACCTCAAATTTTCCTGTTTTTCATCGGATTTATCGAGCTTTTAAACCGATGTTTAGACGAGAGCTGATGATGTGCCTGGAAGATGACGTCCCAAGACCTCGCTTCAGGTCTGTTCTTACAAGAGTCTCTGACAGTTTGCAAACTGTCAGAAAGCATCGCCCATATATTTTTTCAGGAGAGAGGAGGAGAAAGGAACGAAAGAAACATGCGAGGAGCCAAAAGAGCCCACCTCCTCAAGATCCATACTCGAATCCTCAAGGAATGAGAAAAGATTTTCACTCGAGCAGAGGAAATCCCCAGCGAGGAGCAAATTATGCTTCTGGTCATGAACAGGCCAATATTCCATCAAACCAGAAGGCACTCTAAAAGCGGATAAGATGGCGACTATATATACCAAAAAAAGGCAATTGCCCTTCAGGTCAACACACACGACACTAGGGAGCATTTGCTGCCATAACGCGGTTGCTCATCGCGGCACACAAAAGCCATATTGATCCAAGAACGTCTGGTACTTGGTGAGCAGATCAGGAGTCTAACAAGTAGAGCGGCTAAAGGAGTACACCATAACTACAACAGAGACTAGTCGAGTACTGCAACAGAAGCAAACTATGGGTCTAAGAAGTAGAGCGGCTAAAGAAGTACACCAGCTACACCACTTTCTTCCTAGTTTGGCGAAGCTTCCGGAAATTTGTATTTCCTTTCTGAAAGCTATTAAAACAATGGTTATTTCATATAATTTTTTTTCAAATATAACAATTACTTATTAGGTAGTTTTTTAAAACGAAATTGATCTATCGTTAATTTAGTCAGACGATAGGATATTTCCAGCAGTCTACACTACAGTCGCTAGACCATTAATTGACAGTCGAGAAGTTATTCGTGGGTTCATTAATTCTTAGGAGTCTAACTCGACTGAATGTCAGATATTGTTCAACTGTTTTTGCGTTAAACGGAACTAAGCAGGTAAGGTAGTTCCTAATTTGAAACCAAGTTACCTCACAGATCATTGATGAAAAAATATCAGCACACACTATACATATTTAGCGGGTCATCAAGGTCTATTAAGCCATCTTTCGTCGAATGGGTTCTTCATAAGAAGCATAAATGCACGGATAAACTAAACAATAACAAGGTTGAACTATTCGGTAACAGTGCTTTCTCCTTGGAAAGCCCCACAGCACAATAATTCTGCAAGGCATTACATAATTTGGGCATCCCGGTACCAATTTTATTACTGTCATCTAGATCCCCCCAAAATGGTTGGCATATATAACACTTATCGAACTTTAAGGATTTGTCATAATTGTTTTAAACTTTAAAGATACATTTTCAAACATTTTGGGGCTAGTGCAAGTGCGAATAATTTCTTCGCACGTGAAAATCATCAGCAACATCGGTAGTGTACCGTTACTCGACCTAATCAGCCACCAAGTGTTTACTTAATTTTCATTCTTCATTTAATCAGCACTTAAAATAATTAGTAATCATGTTTTGGTTATCAAAGTGGTTCTCTTTATTGTCTATGGTTAGTTTGGTGGCCCTGCAGGGGCAACAAGTACCAAATTTTGTACCGCCACAAACGCAAGATGGCAGGCAAGGTAAGTAAAGGTCAATAGACTTAAGTCTCTCATGGTGCGGTCTTTGATATTAAGTAGTTTATAAGACGTTCGACTGTTAAGACGTTATGTTTTTTGTGTATGTTGTTTTCTTATTCACTTTTTGATGTCTTCATTAAACATACGAAGAAATGTACGTAAGTCAAGCGTTTGCTTTAAAAATATATATAATTAGTGTGTAGGTATATCAAAATCAAAAATAGGGTTTTCATGTAAAAACTATAAAAACTTTTAAGATGTGTTTATTTTATTCTTTATAAATTTATTTGTTTTTTATTCAAGGTAGAGATCTGCTGGATTGGATAGGTTTAGGAACTGGACCCGAACAAGATCCTTATTTAGCTAAAACAAATGCGCAATGCTTAACTGGAGATTTGGCATCTTGCTTTCAAAGCAGAGCATTGGCGTCACTTGATGATTTTTTCAATCAGGTAATGGATAAATCTTCATTTTGATTCACAAATTGTCTATAGGGAAAATAATAATAACATTCAATATTTTAGCCTGCCTATGGATTGACTGAAAGAGCTAGAGTTCTAAGGCTTCCTGAGGAGCATTTGAGATCTCTTGGGACGGAAAATTACGAATACTCTTCTTCACCAAGATCTGAAGATTCTGAATGGGATTCTTTAGTGAAATTTGGCATGAGAAAGGTAAAAAATATTGATTTCTATATTGTTCTAGTATACTAGTTTAGCTAAGAGTGTTTTTCAAATACCAAAATGGTATAAGTTTTTGATGGCAAACAGATTACATATAGGAAAAGGGGTTTGAATAATTATACAAAATTATATCGCATCCTTCTAGGATCAAGATTATTTCGTCAAAGTGAGTAAGAATGTAACTGCAAACATGGGTATGCCAACGCTCCGTGTCCGAGGTTATGGGCTTGTTAAAGTTTTCATTTGTCACTTATTTGTAAAAGGTCACTTCAAGTCAAAACATAAACAACGAAAATTGATTTTTACAATGCACTGGATCTACTGACTTGTAAAATTGACAGCTAAACTGTAAAAACTTTTTACAAGTCAGTAGAATTATTTATTTACAAAAAATTAGTTTAATCACAAGAATAATTGCTTGTAGGTAACTTTTGGAATAATTTTCTGATGATAAACTGTTAGCTACGACTGCGGCTTCAATAATAATATCTTCCTGGCACATTTATTTCTAGAAGAATATTGCAAAATGCAAATCTTTCAGAAAACCTATTTATAACTACTAGAAACACCGATCTAATAACATCTCGTTCTCACAGTTCTACCAACTATAAGTACCAAGGAGTGTATGAGGAAAAATCAAGGAAAAAAATTTAAATTTTAAAATTTTGTTATGTATTTATTTTATATTTGTCCCTATATCTTTTACAAATGAGTAACACATAAATTATTGTACATTATATTTCATTAGAATCAACGACTGCTTTTGTCGCGGAATTTTCTCATGTTGACTTCAACAACCTGATGTATTTCGGAAACGATGCCTTTGCGAACCTAGGTTCATCGGAAAGACTAGATCCTACATGATGCTGTATAATTTTGAAACCTTCGGTATATATTTGTGTTTTAGAACTCAAGTTTTAGATTCGACGTTGTTCGGGGTATTCATTTTAAAACTTACCACCCCTATTATTTCAGAGTTGGACAACTTTCGAAAAAATTCCTGAAACACGTCAACTATAATTTGAGAGGGGATGAGTTTTTATGGAAAATGCACCTCCTCCCTTTCAACCCCCCAGCCCCCAGAGCCACCCCTTAGCAAATCTCAAATGGGAAGGGGGGTCAAGTGATACATCATTTTGGAGTGTTTTTAATTCCATACATTTTGGTACTAAATTTTAATCCCTAAGCTCAACTGTTTTGGAAATATTGACAGTTGAAAATTGGCTTTTTTGCTACTTTGAGAGGCTGTAAAACCTAAACGGTTAATTTTCGAGGAAAACCGATCTTACATTCTTAGATTTTCATAAACTATCATTTGACGCCAACTTTGAATTTAACCGGAGATTAAATTTTTAACAGGAATTTTTGTTCCTGGATTAATTTCAAAGTTGCTGTCAAATGATAGTTTATAAAAATCTAAGACAAAAATGTAAGATTGGCTTTCCTCTAAAATTAACCGTTTAGGTTTTACAGCCTGTCAAAGTTGCAAAAAAGTCAATTTTCAACTGTCAATATTTCCAAAACAATTGAATTTGAGGATTAAAATTTATTACCAAAATGTATGGAATTAAAAACCCTCCAAAATGATGTATCAGTTGACCCCCCTTCCCATTTAAAATTTTCTAGATGGTGGCTCTGAGGGCTGGGGGGTTGAAAGAGGGAGGTGAATTTGAGATAATAGGGGTGATAAGTTTTTAAATGAACACCGTGTATAAGCTTCACAATGACGTTTAAACCTAGGTACATTTATTCTGTAAGAAAAACGTAATTTTTTAATACAATGGACGATCCTTGAGTAGTTCAAGAGATGATTCTCGAGATAATTTTAGGATACAATATTTTGCCGAAGATGATTATAAGTGATAGGTATATCTATAGCGCATTAAAACTGTTCAAAAAATTACACATTCCGTTTGAGATTTTGATAACAATTAAAAGCAAATTGGATTCAATTAATTGGCCTGACACCATTTTATTTTCCTCCACCGATGGCGTGGTTAATGAATAAAAAAAGAATATTTTTCTGAAAATCAGTTGGCAGCTAATTTTGAATTGGTAATGCATAAAGAATAGTCCAATTGGGAAAAATTGTCTGGCGTTCTACTTTTAATTACAAATGCATTCACTGAGTATTGCACAAGGAGAGGAAAATTAAATCTATTGAAGCGAGAAATTATAGTCAAAAGGAATGATAATACACACAAAATTTCAAAACGTAGGTGCCTTCAAAAAAAAACAAAGTTCAAAGTGAGATGTTTGGTTTAGGAAAGTGAATAACTGAGTTTTTCGAGGAGTATAAAGATAGAAGTTTTGTTCCAACACACCAGGAAACCGTACAACTTACCGTCAGGATTCTGCGCAGAACCTAAAATTTGTGCGTGGAATCCAAAGCTCGTGAACAGAGTGGCTTCGAAACCCTTCATGGGATGGTATTCGCGACATGTTGAAAAAATCGCGCAATGTACAATGTCCGGTCATTTTCTGTCGCCCTGATAAAATTTCTAAACTCATAAAATACAAGTTTGTCAGGTGCGTTGGAAAAAGGTACTAAAACTGAATTTTCTGGAACTATTGACGATCCTATGGATTATACTTAAGTATTTACCTACTTTGAAATCAAACTAACACACATGTCTGGTTTTTAGATTACCCACGTTTCGCAAATTTATTTTTGCTTCTAGGAAACTACCATGTCTTCCACAGTTCTCAGAACCTTGTTTTTGGAAATACTAGCTTTGTTTTGGTTAGTTTGGGTTAGTTTGGGTTAGTTGCGCAGAACTGCTTGCTCATAAAAAATAATAGAGGACTGTTCTAATACTAGTTCTGAACCGATTCGGAACCAAAAAAACCAAAACGCGCCGGAAATCTAAATCCTAAAACAGTCCCTCCTTCAGAGCAAGAACCGAGAGAACCGTTCTAGAACAATCCCAGAATTGTTCTTAAATAGTTCTAGATAAACCAAAACACTGTCAACAGAGTTTGATTACGATTCTGAAAAAAAGAAAACGCGTTTTTTAATATGCACATGTGCAGAATGATTCCGAACTAGTTCTGAGTGAAACCAAAACAAAGCTAATGTTTTCTGGATCCAAATTCTTCCCTATACTCGTAGTCATCTTCATCGTACCAACTATTCACATGCTCAATTGATCCATGATTGTCGAACGAATGCCTACTAGGATGCCGCCCTGTCCATCCAGGTCTACCTTCACGCCGCGGTTCTTCTTTTTCTCATGCACCTGTTTAGTGGTGCCGCGAGACGAGACTAGACGAGACTTACGGTTGGTCTCGTCTCGTCTCGACATCTCGAGACGAGACCGTGATTTAGTCTCGGTCTCCAGTACTTAGTCTCGTCTCGTGTCGAGTGGTCTCGTCTGGTCTCGAGTTATACATGGTGTCCAAAAAATAGCGTAAAAACTCTTCTCTACGTGGTGGAGGACCCTACAAGGAACCCCAGAAATACTTTAAAAAATCTAGTGCTTCTTAAGAAAGTTATTTGAATTTCAATATTTATTAAAATTGGCAACACTGAAAATCTCCCGTTGACAATATGTCAGAGAATTCAATTAAATACCCATGTAACTACCTGAGAATTCGAAGGTGAATTTTCACATCTACCTTTTCATATTACCAAGAATAATGCTGGAGAAGGATTTTTTTAATTTAATTATTTTTCTAGGGTTTTTCAAAGGATCCTCTACTACGTGGAGAGTTTTTACGATATTTTTCGGACACCCTGTATTTATGGTTTTTGTTTTTATATTATAACGGAAGTCCAAACTGCCACAGTGAAAAAGCAATTAGTGAAAAATCACAGTAAAGAGTAACCCTGATATTTAATTTACTGATTTCATATTCAAATAGCCCAGAATAGTCCAATATAAAGCTATGAAAGAAAAATTTCAAGTGTAATCTCGAGACTCGAGACTACACGAGACTCTCGCCGAGTCTGGTCGAGACTTCACGAGACGAGACCAAAAGCCAGTCCCGTCTCGAAAAGTCGAGACGAGACCAGTCTCGAGTCTCGCGGCATCACTACACCTGTTCCTTGTCCCATGACTTCCGACCTACCAGACGCCCTATCTACGTCTACGCGGATGGTCGTAGCACTCGTAGTATTTCTTATTGTAGGAATCTGAAGAAGGATATTATTCAAATTCAAGATCAGCAGTGGAATCCCACGAATATTCTTGTTCCAGGTTCCTCTTTCTTCGCTCACCGGATTTTTCTTTTCTCCAGTTTGTTGGCGATTCATATCACTATCTTCTAAGTTGTTCGGAACTCCGTTCCTAATCCGTTTCAGATCGAAGGCTCGTAATAGGAGCTGTGACACGCTGATCAAGGCAGTGATAGCCTTTAACTGGGCACGGTCGCCTTGATAATGTATTTGCAGTTATGCTGTTTACCAGAATGATGTTTGATTCGAAAATCGTACTGTTGCAACTTCACCATCGGAGGCTAAAATTTACCACAATGAAAGAGACAGCCATGCTTTACAGTGACTTAAAATATTCTCCTTTTCCGCAGCGGTAGCATTCGGTCCCCCCTTTTAAGTTCCCTATTCACACGTAGTTCTTCCATTTCAATATTGCTCTCCTTTTCTTGTCTTTCTTTCTGTCTTCGAGCTTCCTCTCTTTAACTTGGATATTTTTCATGAAATCAAGCAATAACAGTCGATTTACTTGCTCTTTGCTCCATGCTGTTTGTTGTCATGTGTTTACCATGGAATACCCCGAATCTTTCTTGAAACTTGATTTTTAATGTAAAGCCATTATTTTTTATAACAAAATCGTCGGATGGTGGATAGGGGCACACGAAGCACAATTGTTTTTTTTTAAATGACAAATAGGCATACTAATTATCTAAAAAAACCGAAGAAAAATAAAATATAAATAAAATTACAATTACTTTGCTTATACTGAGGTAAAAAAATAGCCTACTTACAATTATTGTAGATAATGGAACACAAAGAATTTATAAAACAAAAAACAGAAACGGTTACACAGCAATAAATGGAAACGGAATACTGGCCATCGTCTGAAATTTCAACAATGAACTTTATGATGAGAATTAGAAGTCCATCGAACAGCACTTCCATTTACCTCTAATCAGGAATGAAGCCTCAAAATATATTCCACTGACAAGAGGAAGGTAAAAACGCTATGAATTACATGAAATCCGAAAAAGCAACACGGCCTGGATCCCAATAAATAGAATTCTTTTTTAATGAAGTCACGTTATGTAGCAATTGTTTATCATCAACATAATTTTAATTGCTTACTTAAAAAGGCCGTATGTCTTCCAGAAGCAGTAACACCAATAGCTGGGTACAATGCCTGAATATAATTATTCTTCACAAGAATGTCGAGTTATCAAATGTATCCAATTGCAGGCCTACTTTTTGGCATTTACAACTTACTCTATGTGAATATTATCAACTGGGTTGACATCGAAATTATAGGAGGAATAAGACCAATCTTCTTCTTTTTTCTCAGCTACGAATCAGCGTTTAACTCACCACAAATATTTTTTTTTAGCAAGGATGCTTGGATGGAGACCAAGTTTGTAACCCCTTTTGTTAATGAATTAACAAGAGACCCATAATATGCTTGGTTTGCTTAGCGAATAATTATTAGGGGTGGGTGGATAGTTTAATAAGTACAGAATGGCAAGGGCGCCACTGAATTAAAAAAAATAATAATACATAAAATATTGGGATGTGAAAATTTAGAAACATACCTAGAAAATAATCAGCAAATGGTAATTGGTAATTCAGAAAAGAAAATAAATAAGGCACATAATGCAACCAAACATTGACTTCGGTAAACCAATGAAACAATCAAGTAAGTTTCAAATTAAATTAGTGTATATTTCACAGTGAGGTCAAAAATCAAGTGTTGAATAATTTCAAAATATAAAATCAACTGTTGATGGAACACTGAAATAAAATTAATAAATGGAGGTCAACCCCCCATCAGATTCATGAAACACGAAAAAAAAAAAATAATAATATTACAATGTACCTCAATATAGTTGCCATATAAATCTATCAACTGTCGCTGGCCATATCATTATTATGGAATGAATCAAATTTAAACTGTATGAAATCAAAGGTTAAACGTTGAAGGTATAGAGGAGATATAACTGAAATCCTGAATTTTATAAGTAATATAACCCAGATGAAAAATTGAATAATTTTTGGCGTCATAGGTACTTACCCAATAATTTTAAATTTAGAACATATTGTCTATCCTTGATCTCAGTTCAGATTAATCATTATGATTAATAAAAGATAGAATATAAGTACATTATTCAAATATGACGATACTAAAAGTTAAGCAAAGATAAAGCCATAATAAATTCCGATCCGATGTCAAGAATATAATGAATGAAATTGAAATTCCAAATATTTAAAAGCAATGTCGGTAAAAATTCAACTAATTATGGTAATTGATCATAAAATAGATTTCATAGAGAAAGGTAGTAACAGTTATAATTGAAACTCTATACAAGCCTCAATTCCAACAAAAAGGTAGAGTAGGGTAGTGGATAGTCATCCATTTTTTGGTCACTGGAGGAGAGAAGTTGCACATGGAAGTTGCAGATTCTAACCTGGAATCGAGGTAGATAGAGGCTAGAAGTTCAGTTTTCTTCGTCAAATGTGGAGGTACAGGTATCGACACGTGAGGGACTCAAGAGCTCTATGCCCAGAGATGGGGCTTGTTGAAAATGGATCCCTTGAGAAAAAACAGCTCCCCGGTAAAAACAGCTCCCCGGTAAAACCCTAAGTAATAGAGACATTCCATGAACAACCATTTCTTAAAAAAATTAGAAAGGACTTACCACGAGGGGGTTCGAAATTCAAACTCAAATAAAACGGTAATCACGACACGTTTTATTTAAATTTTTCCGGCAATCAATGGATTTTTGCCGCACGCAACTTTATTTCGTTAAAATAATGGGTGGTATGAATAAAAACGAAGTACGTGCTACTACTGCAAGTATTAGTATATTCTTTGCAGTACTTACTCTACAAAGAAGCATTCTCTAATTTCTGGTAGTTTCGAAATGTAGTATCTACTTCGTTTCAAAGCAAATACTACGTAGAATATAGTTATACTTGTAGTAGTAGCAGGTACTTGGTTTTTATTCATACCACCCAATGCCTGACGGCCGATAAGGTACTTTTTCCACGAGAAAGGTAATCGATATTATATTTCACTTGGGAAGATGGCTGCCCCACCAGGTAATATTTAACTTATAAAATTATTTTCGAAAGAAAAAAAAAACAAGTAACATTTGCAATGTTAGAAGTTAGGAAACCAAAAATAATGCCACGAAATGATCGGATGATCCATAACGTGTAGAAATAGGATATCGGAGATAGGATACAGCGGCACAAAATACACAGAAATAGATACAAATGAAGTAGGCCTATGTTCAGTCGTGGATGTCTCAGCTAATTGATGAAGATCATGATCCGGAGTCAGTGGCGGCCAGTGGCAATCTAGTGTGGTTGTGCGCTCTTGGAAAATTTTTTGGAGGTGCTACGGTGCCACGTCCTGTTCTACATTTATTTTGTATGTTGAATTTTTTTATCTTTACTTTATGAAAAATTATCGAAAACAAAAATATATGTATTTAAATGGGGCTTGAATGTTTGTATTCTAGCCATAATACATAATTGATATTGAAATTTATAATTAAAAAAAAAACCGCGAACAACAGAGTTGTCAAACCGCCAAAATGGTGAAAAAACATCGAAATATTCTCGATTGAGTGGAAACAACATTGGAAGTGTGTATTCAAATAGCGCACGGCGCATCCCTTTCATCGGGCGACTTACCGTATATTCCCGATCAATCGCACAGCGAGAAAACACATTTACCCAGAGCGCCGAACGATTCCACACCGACCACCCGGACCACCAGCACAACCAAGCGGGAGAAAAAAATATACAAGACAGGCGCAGGGCGCGCTTTCGTTCCGTTCGAGTTCGTGCGAATTTAAAAATAGAAAAATGAGTAGATGTTTATCCTAATTTAGAAAATTGGGTGGGTATTTTTTGATTGAAGTTTCTTTTCTTTCCAAAATTTTAATTTTATTTTCTTGCTTGGTTTTTGGAGGCAGTGCGCGCGCACGAGCGCACTTATTGAGAAGCCGCCCCTGTCCGGAGTCGAATAGGCAAAAATAATATTGATACTCCAGGGACGGCACGTCAATTCTTGAATTTAGAATTTACTATGTTGTTGGTATCGACGGAAACGTAATTTCAATGGAACTTCAAAAAGACAAACGACAAAACTCGCCTTATTTTTCCTTGAAAAACTTTCCCCGCATCAACGTCGCGGGCTACTCGTATATCATTTCAAGCCTTCGAAAATTGTCCAGAGGATTCTCTTCTATAAATCTCTGCTAAAAGCAGATCGATAATTCGCTGCGATACAGTGTTCCTTCACTGGTGTTTTATATTTTAACATTATATTGAAAATAATATCTCTTTAGGCGTTTGAGAAGTGGGCAGTCCAATTTTTCATAAATTAATCACACAAATATACCTTTGCTTATACTAATTTCTACTTAATTTTAGGTTGAAAAGTTTCTCAAATCCACCGCAATCGAAGTTGATTTTGACAATGAAGTCACAGAAAGAGGACGATACTCACCCCGTTTTATTGATGAAATCGCCGATGAAATTGATGTCATTGAAGACAAAAAAGATTCAATTTTTAGTAAGTAGAAATGACAAAAAATATCTATACATAAAACCTAAGTAGTTAACGACCCTTTACAATTTGTGCAATGTCATGGACTACTTCAGAAAATTGCTAAACTTCTTCTCCCCATCGTCATAAAATGTATTTTCTCCCCCATTGCCCGCATGTATATAAGTATATAATAATTATATAAACAGGGGCAATTGTTTCTGCCCATTATATTAGGATTTATTTAATTTGTTATGCCGAGTGTACTTATTCGAATTATTAAATTGCAGAAAGAAAACAATTGAAGAAGCTATTCATTCCAATGCTCCTGATTTTGAAAATTTTCAAGCTGAAACTGCTGCTTTTCTTACCACTTATTTTAGGATTGGCCTCATTCAAGAAGTTGTTGAGCTTCTTTGCCATTATTATTCCAGGTAAATATTTACAAAACTTAAAATTGAAACAAATATTAGTCAATAGTAAGGTACCTATGCTAAGAAATACATATCGTTTATATACAGGGTGTTTGGTACATCGATAGGAAGTTTTCAATGAGTGATAGTTGGGGTCATTTGGGAGCTGTTTGACCACATTTACCCTTATGAAAAGTTCCGTCGTTTTTGAGATATCAGCATTTTTAAATATTTTTGAATTGTTCCCAAAACATTTTGTTTTTTTTTTGGTAGTAAACACTTTAACCTTTTTCATTTTTTTTTTTCGATATGCCTAATATGCACTCTTTCGAAAAATACGTAGCCCAAGTTATGTGTAAAAATACATACATGGATTCAAAATATCTAAAAATGACGATATCTCAAAAAACGGCGAAACTTTGCATGAGGGTAAATATGGTCAAACAGCTTCCAAATGACCTCAACTATCACTCATTAAGAATTCCTATCGATGTACCAAACGCCCTGTATATCTACTACAAATATTTATGTAGAATTGTTCCGGCATGTTATGCCTTTCCCAAGAAATTTATAAATAAACTAAGTTTTTGTTTCTGAGTATACTTAACTAGTTACATATAATTTTCATCATTTTTGACGGGGAACCAACAGCAAATCAACACAAATATTAATATATACCGGGATATTCACTATGCAGGGTGTATCAGGTATGAGTACAAATATTTTAACATGAGATAATATGGCCCATTTCAAGCTAAAACTGTCCTATTTTTTGTTAAAAGGTTCTCAAAATACTCAAATCAACACGCAGATTTTGCACACTCACACTTCCCGTATCACGAAATCTTTGTAAAACGGGCGCAATGTTCTTTCATCAGGTGGGTGCTTCTTCCCCTGTAAATTCTTGTGGCTAAATGGGCATTTTACAACGATTTTGCCTAAACAAGTATCTACATATTCGACGTTTGTAAGCATTTTATTTTCAAAAAAGAATTAATTACGCGCGTTTCCAATGCTTCAACTAACTGACATAAGACAAATTAAGCGTGTGTGTTGTGCTTTGTTGCCAGATGTTTAGATAACGGTTTACGAATGAAATTTTCATGTTGTTTTTTCAATTTTTTATTATTGTTGTTGACTAAAAATGCATAATTACTTAATAATTGAATAAACTACATTTTTTTACATCTCAAACCTGATACACCTTGGATTTAGACCCCCCTCTAATTTTTTTCTTTCAGGTTCACAAAAAAACTTCATCACAAAACTTGATTCGTCTAAACAAAATTTTGCAAAGGACGATGCACACTTCAGATGTGATTTAAAAAAATCCGCGATCTTAATGAAATTTTGGTATGTTGTAGATCTCAATCTACTGATCAAAAGTTCTCATGGGCCCAAGATGATCCTATGACTGGTTTCCGAAATACAGTGGCGGGTACCCAAAAATCTGAGTAAATAGAAATTCTTTCACAAAAGGTAAACTTAAATACAAAAAGTGATAAAGACTACGTTTATTTCACGCGTTGTATCCGAATACTAAGTGGATTGGATTAAGGTGGAAATATCCATATTTGCACAAAAACCCTTTTTTTGATGAATCGTAATTATTGGTGTTTACTCCTTAAATCACATTCAAAGTAATTTCCAAGTCAAAACGGTGTATCTTGGTACTGCCTATAACTTCCAGTACCATTAAAGCCAGAGACTAGGGTCGAAATGTTCATATTTTCATAAAAACCCTTTTTTTCATGGATCGCAATATGCAATTAGTTTTACCCCTTCGAACCACCCTGAAAGTAATTTGCAAGTCAATTGAGGTTCCCTAAACAGTGTATATTGGAACTGCCTATATAACTTCCAGTACTATTTGTGCCCGAGACTAGGGTGGAAATGTCCATATTTTCGCAAAAACTATTTTTTCGATGAATCGCAACTATTAGGTTTTACCCCCTTAAACCAGCCTTAAAGTAATTTGCAAGTCAAATGAGGTCCCCTAAACGGTGTATATTAGTACTGCCTATAACTTCCAGTACCATTAGCGCTCGAGACTGTAGGGTGGAAATGTTCATATCATATTTTCATATCATATTATTTTATTTTAGTTTAACTTGAACATCTGATTTTTGTATATAAAGCATGAATTAAACAGAAGGATTATATTTTTTGAGTACCTCCTGTAGATAGAAGTTGTCTCCTGACATCTACCCTGGACAATAAAAATAGGATTCAATTAATTTCAACACTTTTTGTATTGAAGTTTACCTTTTGTGAAAGAGTTTCTATTTACTCGGAATTTTGGGTAGCCCCATACCCGCCACTGTATTTCGGAAACCAGTTATAGAATCATCTTGGAACGACGAGAACTTTTGATCAGAAGATCGAGATCTACAACATACCAAAATTTCATCAAAATCGTGGATTTTTTAAAATTCCATTTAAAGTGTGCATCATCCTTTGAGAAAATTATTTATGCAGGGTGTCCCAGTAGCGGTGCACAGCGCTTCCAACTTGAAATTTCTAAATGAGACACCCTGTATTTTATTTGTTTTTTCAGATTCTAAGACAAATCGATTTATTAATCTTATCTTTAACTATTTCCGAGAACAATGCTGTAATAATAAATAGTAATAAATTTTCAAATAATTATACAGGGGGTGTCCCCGTTTTCTGTAGTAGGACTTTGATAGCTTGTAGAAAAACTAATTTTCAAGACAAGAAGTTCATATAAACATATTATGCTCAGACGATAAGGCTTTGTCTTAGAATTTATCGTGAAATTTAAAAATCAAATAAAATACAGGGTGTCCTTTTTAGACATTTGAAATGTCTGCGAAAATAATTGGAAAAAAAATAGTTTAGACAAAACAATTTTTATATCAAAGTTTTTTTTTGTAAACCTGAAAGAAAAAGAGCTAGTAGTACCTAGGTAGCTACTTATTAACACTGAATTCAGATTTGTAGGGCATAACTTTCTGCCAACTACAACCTTCTAAGTACTAATCTAGATAATTCGATTTTAGGACTCATTGCCTATTTTAAATTCTGTAAACCGAATTTTCCATCAAACTTTGGACCAAGCCAATTTGCCGGCCCGCACTACTCGTCTACAGGAGTTGCATATGCCCAACCTCAACATTATAGGTGAGTAGATTGTTAGGTATTCAAATTACTGAGATTACACAATAATATATTATTGTGTAAGTTTTGTACACAAAACTCTCAGAATCCGAAAAAATATATACCTGCACAGGTGCACAATATCATGTATTCATGAAGGTATCATATTATTTTGAACTTCTATGGTATTTTTGATGTAAAAGCAGAATCTTATACAAAATCTTGTACCGTCCTTTTATTTGGCCTCAATCGCAAGCTAAATAAACCGACTCGCCTCGTCCAATTAAACTTTATATTAGGTACTTGTAGCATCAATAACGATGGCTGAGTTTCCAAATCAAAAGTATAAAAGTTTCATTTTATAGCTAATTACTTTTTCTTATTATTGGAAAACATCAATGGGTAGCAGAATTTGTTCTGGAAGAAATAATAATATTTTTAGATCTATGTTCTACCAAAAATGTTGCTTGATATGTTCAAAAATAGTATATTTCATTTGGAAATGTGAACTCTTTTTGACATTGAACCTCCAGTTATGAACTTAGGTTCTCGAACAAAACAACCCATGCTGCAGCATTTGCCATTTCACACGGCCCAACCAGTTGGTGGGAGAGCCCTAACGTATTTCCGATTTTGTTTCTCAACATGCGAATTTACTTGATTTGTTCCTTACCACTAATCCCGATCCTTACAAGATCGATGTTTTTGCACTTTTGGGCAAATCAGACCACAAATCGAATCAGTGTGTCCGACCAAAAAAGAACAGCGCATATCGTACCTGGCGTAGAAACCAATGAAAACCAAACTCCTTTACGGCGGACAGAAATTATTGCAACTGTATAACTAACGACGCTAAGGAGTTACACAACAAGCAAGTACGTAATCGACTTTTGGACTACCTAAGTGGATCGAGGTCCTTTTGGTCCTTTGCCAAGACCATAGAGAAAAATTTCACTTCTCTTTCTTTCCACCTAGTTAAGGACAATAATTCCATTGAAGTATCATCGAAGGAAAAAGCAGATCACTTTGCCAAACAATGTGCATCCAATTCAACGATGGAAGCTGATGGCAGAGCGCACAGGTACTGTCACACATTGGTTCTTACATGGACAACGTTGTAGTTAGATAAAAAAACTATTAGGAAAATTCTTCTGCAAGTTGACACTGAAAAATCTTATCGTACCGACGGCATTCCACCACTTGTCCACAAAACTTGCCCACAAGAATTGACTTCAGTTCTTTGCAAACTGTTTCTACTCTCTCACAGTTGAGGCGTTGTATCTGGATATGTGCCAGAGTGCAGCTCATCCCGACAAAGGTAAAAAAAAAGCTCTTCCTAGCAATTATTGGCATCTTTCTCTTCTCGCAAACCGCTTACTGCAGCCACTTCAAAATACCTCGTCCGAGAGCAGATTCACTCTATCAACATTGATCTTGGCACCATTACCAACTGGGGCCTTTAAAACCTAGTCAAAGTCAATGCTTCCAAAACTCATCAACATAATTCTCAAATAAATAAGAAATATTCCGCCGATGATAAGCCAGTTTTGAGGATATCGGGACAAAACCTTAGTATCAATGTCTCAGTATCTCTTCTTGGGGTGACCGCATCTACCAACTTGTCTTGGCATGACAATTTATCTTCGATCGCCAAAACCGCTTTTCAAAAATTAGGTTTTTCGTTTCATGCAAAAAACTTTTTTTTCTTCTGAACAACTTCTTCTCCTGTGTAAGGCACAAATCAGACCATGTATGGAATACTTTCCCTACATCTGGAGCGATGCTCCCAAGCATTCGTTGGCTTTATTAGATGTAGTACAAAGAAAATTAATAAAAATTATCGATAATCCAACTCTCACAGATTCATTGCAATCTCTCGAACATATACGCAAGGTGATGGACTTGTCGTTCTCCTATTGCTATTACTAAGGGAGATGTGTTGACGATCTGGCCAGCGTCATTCCAGCTAGGAGAAGTTATTTAAGAACCACAAGAGCCTCAAAGGCATCCCATCCGTATGTGGTAAAGTTGGCTACCCTGAGGACCTCTAAATAAAGGGCTTCTTTTTGGTGGCGTATTGCCCACCTTTGGAACTCCCTGCCTTCTACCTCAACGTGTTCAAACTAATGATTTTTTGTGCAAGAACGATGTGGGGAATGTAATAATTATGAGGATTAAAATTTCAGTTTTTTCTTCAAACACTCAATTAATATTATGCTATTATTTCTAGAGAGCAACCCAGTTTCGTTCAACCAGCGTACCATGAAGAATATTCTCAAGGAAACGGGTTTAGTTTTAGAGACGAAAACGCTGCTCAAAACTTGGCCTATAATGGCTGGAATAATGGACAATTCAGAAATTCAGGAAAAGATATCCAAGCAGAGCCAGAATCAACGTCAAAAAAATCGATTTTGCCTGATTCGTGAATCAGTTTGCACTCAGTTAGATTTTTAATTTTATTTTTAGTAGCTTTCATTTGCTTATTATTGATGAATGATATGAGTGTGCAATTGTGATGCTTGTGAGTTATTATTTAATAGTATTTATTTATTTAGATTTGTAAATATTTGTAAAAATAAATCAGTTTTAAGTATATTGTTTCAGTAATATTTGTATAGCTGAAGAAAATGAACATATTATGCTAAATATTCCTTTGAAACTTTTAGTTTATGAGACTGCACTTAGCATTTATTGATCTCCCAAGTAGCACATAATATTGGGTAAACATCGTTTTTCAGTTGGGCCAATATTTATTCATTTTTGTTGCTAAATCAACACAGTACCTATATTGGGGCAACGTTGGTTTTAACTATGTGGAAACAATATTTTAAAAAAAATCTTGCACCAATATTGTTTTCATAGATTAATTAACTTTTCAGTAATTTGAATATTGGTCCAAGACTTCTCACTACAATATTGATTTATGAAATATTGGCCAAATATTACATTTTATATTATCGAAACCATATTGTATTATAATATTAATTCAATATTGGCGATCAATTTTTTATTGATATTTAAATTCACTTCAAAAATTTGTACACCCAATATTTATTTTCAATTTTTTCACAATATTGATACTTTTTGAAAAGCCCAATAAAGGGCCAATATTTACATACTAATTTTCACCAAGGTTAGATCTTCTGAATTGAAAATGTTGGTCCAATATAGGGTATTCAATGTGTTTTCGGAGTTCTGTCAAGGAATCAAGTGAGGAAAACAGACTTTCCGCACGAGTTAAGAATTAATATTTACACATGTATATGGTAATTTCGGATATTTTTACATTTCCGCTATACCTTCCAATGTCAGACATTTTAATTTTTTCGCGCTAGTGGGCACTTGGTGTGCCGACCGAAAAATAGATGGAGACTCTGTCTTCACTTTACCTGTCTTAAACCTGGTTCTGGGATGAAGCCAAAAATTGGTTGTTTTCTCTCTACGAGACCCTGGCGGGACTTAACTGTGCTGATGAGTTGTGATACAGCGAAACGGGTCCACGGATGGTCCGACAGAGAGTCGGTCCTTATGATTGGTCCGTTACCTTAATTAAATCTATATGTGTATATATAAAAATTAATGCCACTTTTCGTTGTAATTTTATAACTCAAGAACAGGCTCACCTAGCCAAACCAAATGTTTAGGCTTTGTTCGGACTATTTATTAGATGGTTTATGTGAAGTTTGCACAAAATCGGTCGAGCGGTTCTTCATTTATTACATTTTTTGTAATAAATGAATTATTCAATAAATGAGGATCATTTTGTGATCATTTTGTTAATGGGGATTTTGCTGTCAAATTGAAACTTTTTTCAGCGTTGACAGTACCAGCATGTTGTTATGTCATTAATGTGGTCATTTCATTACTTATTTTATTTATTTATGAAAAAAATTTACTAAGCCCGCATACGGCACCATCTCTTATTTTGTATTTTGTATACCGCGCCATCTCTGATACCTGGAACGAAGCTCGGCATTGCAGATACAGTAGAACAATGCTGCTCAGGAACTGGAGTTATTTCGAACAGAACTATTCCACTATTCCGATCAGATAGAGTGGTGCAGAAAGAGTAGATCAGATAGAGTAGTGCAGATAGAGTAGAACAGATGGAGTAGTGCAGTGCATGCAGTGCAGAGAGAGTGAAACAGGGTTGCGCTAGAGATTTTTTTTGTTTTCTTTACATTCTTTGAACATTCCTGTGCCTGAGTTTATTTATTTGGTGGTACACTTCACAAGAATAATGCCCACAAGCTGCCTAAAAAAGGATGATGTAAAATTTTAATTTTAGGTGACTTCTGATCCAGAGAGTAAACATTAATTTTCTTCAACCTTAGCCAAATTCACCATCGAAAAAAACTGAATTTAATTCAGCTAATAGATACGTTAACACAACATTTAATAGGTATATTTAATAATTCAAAGGCGGTACGAAGTTCGCCGGGTCATCTAGTATAATATAAAGCCAAGATTTACATACGTCTTCGGGCCAATATTGGTAATTTTAATTGGCTCTATATTGCATAAAGTTCTTGATATGATATTGATTATTTGTTTTTGGGCCAACATTTGGTTACGTTATTGTACCAACATTGGTATTTGTTTTTGGGTATATATTGACATACGTTCTTGGACAAATATTGCAGAATGTCCACATCTTTTATTGCGCCAACATAGAGAATCTGACTTGGGCCAATAAATCTTGGTTATTGTCCCAATATTGGCCCAACATGGGAGTGCTGCTTGGGCTTGTTTTAATTATTGGCTTGATGGTGCAGTAATTGGCGAAGTATCTGTGGGACGTAGTGCTCTTTAGAAAATTATTCTCTTTTGTCCCTCCAGTATTTTTAATATCCACATTTCTGGTCAGAAAATATTATTAATTTGGTTTATTGTCGCAGGTAGCAAAATCTTCTGTGAATATGATTTTAAAATTTTTTCATAGGTATCTAAAACTCGTAAATATGTAGTATCAACGGTATTCTCGCATTTTTCTGGTACTATATAGTATGTAAAGCAGTCAATTTCTTAAATGGAATTGTGGAAATTCTAACGAGTGAAAATTCTAACGAATCTAAACTGGTCAACATTAAGTTCGGTCCATTCAATTTTTTGTCCTATTTTTGAACAGCTGCAACTTTTTTAAAAATAAATTTTTTTGAACGCGGTTTACGGCATTCAAAAGCACGTCTCTTCTAGATTAGGCTGCATGTCACACATTTTTGGTGGGAAAGATATTTTCATGATATATGGGATGATAAACAATGTCATGCAAAAAAGCAAAAATTTCGTGTGTGTGACACTTTGGCAAAAAAATTTTTTAGTTGCTATAATATGGTTCGTTACTAAGGTTAAATCAATATCTCTAGACGTTTTTGTCACTTTTTGGATTTAGGCCCTTTGGCCTTAGATACACTACTAAACATCAAATTTTGGTAATGCTATCTTTAAATTGCTATAATTCGAAAACGAAATGACGTATTTTCACGAGCGCTTCAAATTCGGAAAGCCTATTTCATGTAGATATTCTGTGACCTAAGAAATTTACGCATGGTTTCAGTTTTAAGATTATACCAGGATACAATAAAATAAAATCGCTAACGGTACGAAAAATCTCGCCGGCGGTGTATGGAATCCTTTATAGCAATAGGTTTCCATAAGAACGATGGACCAATGTTGTCATGATGGAACCCTATTTAGCATAAAACTCTATGGCATGACATTTTGCGTCAACTGCAAATTTTATCTTGTATCAGTTACAGTCCGTCGATTTTAATCTGAGACTCCAAAGGAATGTAAGCTGGTGGCTCCCTACATTAGAATGCCAAAAATCACCTGACGTCACACCTGTTTTTGTCATATGCCTCACCCTGTCGCTCCTCATACGGAAAATGTCAGATTAAAAACGACGGACAATACATTTTATTTTACCAAATGGTTAAACTTGGCAAAAATGAATTGAGAAATGTTGTGAGGTAAGTTTGAGCCCATGAAATTTATCAAGAAAAGACGCATACGCATACCTACCTAATTTCGAGTGTGAAAAGGGTACTAGCAAGTGAAACCTAGCTTATGGCAGTTCAAGTTATCGCTACCAACACCGTTGCGGACGAACGAGAAAAACAACGTCAAGGCAGGATCGTTTGATTGATCGTAATGAAACACGGAGTAGAACCCTTATTGCCATCAAACACTGTCAGAGCTTTCAAGCAGCAACTGGCATAAGGATATCAACGCAAACCATAAGGCGTAGACTTCACGAGCGTGGACTTACGGCAGAATACGGCTAATAGCAGAATGGAGTAGGTGCATGTTCGCAGATGAATGTAGGTTTAATTTATGTGGAAGTGATGGACGAGTTTTAGTATGGAGAGGGAGAAATGAACGATATCTGGAAGGAAACATGGATGCGAGGGAACTGTTGGTAGGTGCCGGTGTGGTTGTTAAGGGTGGTGTTATGATGGATAGGAGAACTGATTCGGTTGTTTAACTGAGGGAATCGATGAATGGGTATCGAGACTGTATCAGTGATATTATTATCCATTTCCACAAAACTTTGGAGACGATTTTGTCCTGGTGGACGACAATCTCGTATTTGTGAAAATTTTTAATAAAAATTTCTATAGTTGATTTTTTTTTTGTGCGCATTTATAGTGTCTTTTTTACGTCCAATGATTTACCCAGTATTTAAGGTTTCCGTGTTGGAAACCTATTTGTCTATTGTTGGCCTGGTATGATGTTAAAACTGAAACCTTGCGTAAATTTCTTAGGTCATAGAAAATCTACATGAAATAGGCTTTCTGAATTTGAAACGTTCGTGAAAATCCGTCATTTCGTTTTCGAATTATAGCATTTTGAAGATTGCATTACCAAAATTTGATGTTTAGTTGTGTATCTAAGGCCAAAGGGCCTAAATCCAAAAAGTGACAAAAACATCTAGAGTCTAGAGATATTGATGTTACCTTAGTAACGAACCATATTGTAGCAACTAAAAAAATTTTTTGCCAAAGTGTCACACACACGAAATTTTTGCTTTTTTGCATGACATTGTTTATCACCCCGTATATCATTATAATAACTTTCCAACCAAAAATATGTGACATGTAGCCTAATCTAGGAGAAACGCGCTTTTGAAAGCCGCAAACCGCGTTCAAAAATATTTATTTTTAAAAAAGTTGCAGCTGTTTAAAAATAGGGCACAAAATTGAATGGACCGAACTTAATGTTGACCAGTTTATTTCAAGTTTGAAAATTAGGTGATTTTAAGCTTTCAATTTTTTTTTGTAGGCTGGTCACAGTTCTCGAAGAAATAAAATATCTGTTAACTATGTATTGGTTCTTAGGTTTACACAATAATTATTATCATGTCTTCATCATATCACCGATTAAATAACTAAAAGAAAAACTGTGGTTAATGCATACTTGCACT